TTTTTATGTATCTGCGCATTTCTTTATTTCCGTGGGCATTGACAATGTAAATGGGATTAAGGTTTAAATTTGTTGTGTCGTTTTGTCGCTTTATGACTTTTGTGTCCACTTTATTGCGCAATTTTCAGGTGTGATTCGGTATTGCAGATTAGGAACTCACGAAGCTCAGTTCGACAAAGTCTGCTTACATAAAATGCCTTAAATTATATCAATTTAAGTCCAGTTACATTAGATTTGGCTGGCTATAGTCACTAATCTTATAGAAAACAGCCAAACTGATTTAAAATTGGCCAGGATTGAATTAAAATGCGCCATAATCTCATCATCCAGGACTACATCACAACAGTTTCATTTTAACTTCTCCCTCTCATTTCCTGCCACATCTCGTTAGTAGAATTGAAAGTGAAAAAGGCACGTTTAATAATGAAATTCATTCTCATTTCATTTCACTGTTTTCCTCCCGTCAGTCTTCTTCGATGGAATGCTTAACATATAAAAATGCAGAATACGAAATGAAATGAAGGAAGAAAAGAATGTGAAAGTATCTATCAAGATTTGTGAAGGATGAAATAATAATAATAAAAATGTGGAATTATGATGAAAGATTGTATGCGAATGGTGAAGTAAGTCATCGCATTTCCGTCATCATTTTCATGATCAAATGTTACAATGTTGTGTAAAAAAAGGTTGAATATGAATTTTTTATCATACAATTATAGAGTCTGTAATTGATTCCAAAGTAAGCTTACGTTCTTTAATGAAATATATGTGGGAATATTTGTAAGCTAGATCATAATTCATGATATATTCTCGTATATTTTATCATTTTATATGCAATGGAAATATGTTTGTGGTTGGGGCATGGAAAGAAGGAAGCGAGAATTAAAGTAGATTTCAAGATTAATGTTCATAGCACACAATTTTCTCTATTTCTATGTGCTTTACTGACTGGATTGTTCATTTAAATGACTTAAAATAGAAGATTGAGGATTGAAATAAAGGATTCGATCATAAACGTTGAATTGAAGTCTTGAGGAAAGCTTGATCATTTGTTGATTTAATCAAATAAATGTGGGAACTAATCATCAGCATCGATAGAAATATTATTTTTACTCATAACACTTAATCTCTTACCAAGAATTTCCATTACAAACCAAACCATTCCTCCACAAGTAATTTCCTCAAACTGCATATTCACTTGGAAATTTCTCAAAATAATTAAAACTCTTGCCTTTGATGAAACTTTGCAGTGAGAAAAAAAGAACAAGAAGTTGTTAATTATGATAATGAGCGATGATGATGATAATGCATCATTTTCCAAGAACAGTGGAGACGTTCTAGTTTAAACTTTCTTTTATCGTCATCTAACGCAGTAGATGGATGGAAAATAATTAATGAATGAGTGTAATTTTTTGATTAAAACTCAGATGCAGTTTATGGCTTTTTTTTCTTCTCGCTTCGACATCTTGAACGATGAAAGTTTATTCCTTGATTATTAAATTGTCAAGTTTTCTCGCCAACGTACTTGCTTTGGGTTTATTTTTAAAATTGAATTATAAAAATTGATGGTTCTGGATATTAAAAAGCACCTTTGAAATATTTAACTAGTAAAGGTTCCCGAATAGCACAAGTCGGTTAATAGAATAGGAATCCAGCACCAAGCAGACATGATTCTGGCATGGTGCTGACTTCAATTTAAATCCAGCATCATGCCAGAGTCACACCTGCTTGGTGCCCGATTTCTGATCGATTAACCGACTTGTGCCATTCGGGGTTGCTTGAAAAGTCTTTAACTCTTGATTTACAATATTTATGTTCTTTTCTTGCTGACCCCCTCCCCCCAACCCCCTCCCGGGTCGTCCACTTATTACGTCCGAAATTAACGACCTTTTTTCAAACTAGAACAATTGATTTTCAGGAATTTCTATCATTCATCATTCTTTTCTTGCTGACCCTCCCCCCCCCCCCCCCCCCCCTGGACGTCATAATTGAACGGCCCTTTATTAAATCTCACTTTTCAATGCAAGACTTTAAACATATTTTTCGAAATATTAATTATTCAAGCTATGTAAACTCATTCATAACTAAATCCTTATAACTTTATAGCCTTTCATTTACAGTTCATTTAACATGCATACATGTAAATTAATTCAATAAATAATTCTCTATTTTTCCACATATGCACATGCATAATTTTTTAATGCTTATTCTAAAGAATTAAGCTTTTGATTCTATTTTTTAACATCAAATGAACAGCATTTGACAGCAAATTGAAAGCCATGCCATAATTGAATTTAAACAAAACAAAACCAACTAGAACTAGTGTATCGGGTAGAAACCCAATGCGGATTATATTCACACCGTACTATCATAAGTCTTACGGATAGACCAAGATTTGCCCATCATAAGTATGAAGGTATGAAGCTTGATAAGTCAACTAAGCTTCGCTCAGCATAAGTTTGAAGTTATAAAGCTATCGCGTAAGCTGAGCTACGCTCAGCATAAGTTTGAAGATATGAAGCTAGAGAGGCAGCTGAGCTTCGCTCAGCATAAGTTTGAAGTTATAAAGCTATCGCGTAAGCTAAGCTACGCTCAGCATAAGTTTGAAGATATGAAGCTAGAGAGGCAGCTGAGCTTCGCTTAGCATAAGTTTGAAGTTATAAAGCTATCGCGTAAACTGAGCAACGCTCAGCATAAGTTTGAAGATATAAAGCTAGAGTGTCAGCTGAGCTACGCTCAGCATAAGTTTGAAGATATGAAGCTAGAGAGGCAGTGGAGCTTCGCTCAGCATAAGTTGAAGTTATAAAGCTATCGCGTAAGCTGAGCTACGCTCAGCATAAGTTTGAAGATATAAAGCTAGAGTGTCAGCTGAGCTACGCTCAGCATAAGTTTGAAGATATGAAGCTAGAGAGGCAGTGGAGCTTCGCTCAGCATAAGTTGAAGTTATAAAGCTATCGCGTAAGCTGAGCTACGCTCAGCATAAGTTTGAAGATATAAAGCTATCGAGTCAGCTGAGCTACGCTCAGCATAAGTTTGAAGGTATAAAGCTTGACGAATATGCCAAATATTCTTTAAAAAAATTTTTAAATTTTATTTCATCCAAAGTTTAAAATTATAAAAATCACAGTGAACTTTTGTTTTGAAAAATTCGTAAGAAAGGAAAGTTTTTTGCTTTTTCTGAAGCAACGGCTGTTCCTACCTTGCCCAAAAACAATACAGCTCTTCTATAGAGCAGCACGGATCAAATGTAAAAAACTAGAAGTCTCTACGATGTCTCGTTATTGAGATTTCTTGCTGATTAACTTGCTTGCTTGCTTGTTTGCTTACAGAAAGCGTATTTTGCGATTTTCTCAGCAATGCCACAACCAATTTGAAATCTGTTTTTTGCTTTCTTTTCTCACAAAATGCGAAAAACTGATTTTTCAATCTGAACAAAACCAATAGATTCACACGTGAAAACGGTGTGAATATAAAAAAAAATTTAATTTAATGAATCCAGATTGCTCATTCAATGGAACATGGAGAATGGTTCAAGCACATCCATATAAAATTGCATCAATTAACAATTCATTTACTGTGGCAGCAGCGCGTTGATGGGATTTTTTTAAAATTATTTTAATTATTTTTTGGAAACTATGATGGAGGATGTGTGATAAAAACAAGTAAGAAAAAAACTGTAAAGGTGTGCATTGAGTGCATTTTATGATTTTTAAATAGAAGTTGTTTCCATTTAGTCCAGTTAAATCTAGTAAATACTCATTTCTGTGTTCCATCTTACTAAATTCCTCTTAAGATTAAAAAAGCAGACATTACTCACTTGCACGTGCTACCCCCAAAACTGCTGCGATAATTTTCACACTTTTCGACATAAAATCCGCTAAAAAATAAAGTCAGTGGATGAAAATTATACAGCAACAATGTAAGCCAGTGGGTGCATTAAAACAGAATGAATAATTTATAGCATTCACGAGCTGTTAATCGAGGTCATAAAATTTTAATTCACAGCATATCCATAGATAATTTAATTTTATTATTCTTGTTGTGATGACCAATCCACAATTAAATTACATTTTTTTGGATGAAAGACAAAAATTATTATTTTTTATTGCTTCTGTTGTCCTTCTTTTTACCATTTCTTATTTACTTGCAGTAAAGATTTCTAAGAAGATTTATGATAAAGAGGTTTTTATTAAGTTTAGCTAGCAAAATGAGTAAATGGATTAATCCACACCCATTACTGATTTATTTGTGTCTAGATCTGCTTGAAAATCGATTGTGGACTGTTTTGAAAATTCTTAAACTAGAAATTGTGTAAACTAAGTGACAGATCCAACAACAGAGTCAGATGGAAAGCCTTTTGTGGTAACCTAAGCTCCATATAGCAAAATGGTAACATTTAGACTTTAAGCAGTTAAGTGCCTTGCTTGTCGAATAGGTAAGACGCTTGACTTTTGGGATGGTAATTCGAAGGTCGTCGGTTCAAATCTAGCCATTTTCAAATTTGTTCTTTTTCGGAAGTTTAGATAATTCGACTGCTTAATGTACGAGATCAAGCAATAATTAGGCATTTGGGCAACGTTGGATTAAGGAACGGGTCAGGAACTTGAAGTGTAGTTGGAGAAATAGGACGGGGAGCTGAAAACTATCACGTCACATTCAACATTCATTGTCATTCAATTGGAAATGGCTTTCAAGCAGCTGCCACGTGGCAAACATTTCAATGTGTGCCGAACGGATAAATATTTGAAAACTTTAATCCTTGTTAATCTTTGTTTTGCAATTAAGAAAAATTTATATAAGATAGAGTAGCTATCTTTTATCGAAACTCAGTCACAACAGCAACAATTCTTCATAACAAAACAGTCCATTGGACAAATTTTCATTCTCTAAAGAGAATCATTTTCACACTTCCACATTGGAAATTTCCAAAATTTCTCTCAATTCCATCGAAACAAGAAAAAAACTTTTCATTCTTAAACAGTTCAGTTGATAAACAACAAGTGCCGGTGAAAGACGCAACTTTTTTTTTTAAATCAAAAATTTCCCTCAGCCGAGAAAAAAGTAAAAATTCGCGCGTAAAAAAAATATTTTTTTTGTGTGTGTGTTTGTCTAATCAAGAAAAACGAACGAAATAAATCAGTGAGAGACGTGGCTGCATACGATATAATTTTATTTACTGCCGTCATTATTTTCTATCAATAGAAAAAGTGAGCAAGAAAAATCATGAAAAATGAGAAACAAGCCGATAATTGAATTAATATGTTTATTAATGATTAAAAGTTTCATACTAATCCAGTAACATTATTATCGTATAGTGAAGTGAAATGGCAAATTGCTGTACACAAAATAAAGAAACATCTTGCTCGGTATGTTCATAACACATTCAGGCTATGAAAATGTTATTTTTTTCTGGTTCTTTATTTTTCTTTCTTCTATTTTCACTTTTGTGGATTAGAAAGTGTGAAAATATATATTAATATGAATAAAAGGAGCAATATGGAGTGACAGTGAAAGGATAAGGCTTTACTTTAAGCTTATGTTTATTATTTATCCTTTTTAGCTATTCATTTCCGTTCTGTTTCTTTTTTGTTGGAGTAAATTTATTTGTCTTAATGTTTGGGATTAGGCTGAATTAAATGAGTTCATGGAAATTATAATAAGGCATTGTATTGAAATTTATGGCTTTAAAGCTTGAAAGAACTTTAAATTTTAATGATTACTGAGAAGAGAATTTTGTTGCTGGATAACAGATTTATTAAAAATTGTAATTTATTCTGCATTTATTTCTTAATTACCCTGTTTTTTCGTTATAAGCTACTACTTCTTACTAAGCTACTAGCTTAACAAAGTTTTTTTGAACTTGAAAATTTTTTGTAATCTTTACTAAGGTACTACCAAAAATAAAGCTTAATCAATCTTTTTAAACTTTCTAAAAATCAGTTTCAATGCCTTATGACAATGTCAATGAAATAAAATCGAAAAGATAGCAAAATTTCTTTAATTATGTTGAAAAATTCAAAATTTTCATTGAAGTTCAATTTTTTTACTAAGCTACTACTCGTTACTAAGCTACTAGTGAGCCAAAAAAAACACTTTTTAAATCTACTAAGCTACTAGCTTATAACGAAAAAACAGGATAGGTAAATCAAACCTTAAAATATTTAATTTCACTTGTTCCTTCTTCTTTTCAAATCCATCCAACATAATAAATCTAATTTTGTATGTCGGAGTCAACTCCGAGTCGACTTGATTACATACAACATTTAATCGACTTCAAGCTCTGGTTTTATTTTTAAAAATAAGAAATAAGAGCCAACAAGAAGAAGTCGGAAATAAGAAAGTATCAATGCTGAACAGCAACAAGAAGAAAAAATAGAGCAAAAAATTGTGATAACCTAATTAAAAATAGCTCAACGTGGGGAGAAGAGAACGAAAATTAATGTTCACAGCTTCCATAAGTTGCAGCACGAAAGAAAAATTCTTCAAATTCCGATAGCAATATTTTTAAAAGAACACTTCCGCAGCTTAAATTTCTCAAAAAGCTTGTTTTTCTTCATCTTCATCGTTTATACATTTTTTCGACACATGCTTAGGATATTTTGTGGTGTAGCCACAAAGAATTCACATTTTTAACTTTGAATTTTTTTTCAAAAAAGGGGGCTTTTGAGGTGTTTCTAGTTGAATATTTATAACAACAATTATAAAGGTTTTTTTTTCAGAACAGCTTGTCGAAATGATTCTTGAATTTTTCAAAACATTGAGTGCCTTTTTCAAATTTATAATGCATGCTATTTTTGGATTATTTACTCGTGTGCTTGTCGATGGTACTTTTTTGAACTTCAGAGGTCTTAAAGCAAACACGTTGAGTTATTTTGTACAACATGGCAAGAGCTTGTTCTGCACTTGAGTCAATTTCATAGTGAAATTTTACATTTATTCAAAAATAAACTCAATTTTTGTATGCAAATCATAGTTGATATAAAGATCTGATGTGCATTTAAAGAGCACTTGAAATAGTTCATGCATAAAATGGAACTTGACAAACATCAACAATGGGCTTTTTAAATCTAGATTCATCATTTTTGCTGAATATTTTTTTTTCAAAACTCATGAAAACTGAATCATGACTGTAAGTCTGTTTCACGATAATTTTCCACTCTAAAATATGGAGTTGTTCACAAATGACGTTCATCAGAATGATTTTTCGATTCATTTCTATAAACGACAGGAAATTGTATGTTGTTCGAAATGGATACAATGCAGTAATTAAAAGGGAATTAATTGATGTATCATCAAAAGTCAGCTTGACTATGAAACGAAAGCAAAACAGCAATTTGTAAAACTCTTTGAAATTGCATAGCTTTGTAAAATGATCAAAGCAGTCTTTAACTCTAGAAGCATTTGATATTATCTGTTCAATTGTCAGTATTTTGTGTCAATTTGTAAGCGTTTTTGATGTTGCAAAATAATAAGTATGAGACTGAGATTCAAATATAGCTACAAAGAGATGAGATGAATAGAAGCAGGAGGATAAACGAAAAACTTTAAGTATGAATTTACATAATTAAATATCGATTAAAATTTAAAATTTAAAAACTCTATAATTCTATATTTTTCCAATCCTTAAAAACTTATTCTTTTTTTTGAGCTCTTTAAAAGATGGTTGAAGAATTGACCAAAAAGATTAAAAAATGATCGAAAATGTTCAAAAAATCATCAAAATTTAATTTATCAGTTCCACATCCTAGCTTTAAAATTCAAAAACTTAAAAACCCCAAAAAAAATAATTTTTGAAAATTCAAATTTTAAAAATCGGTTAACACTTGGAGCAACTTTTGTCCATACATCATAACCCTTGATTCATTGATTTTGAGGTACATAATTGATGTTTTGTCTAATGTTGACCATTATAAATTAAACATCTAGTTCATCTAATCTTTAAGAAACAGACAAAACAAGATTCTCGAAAGCTTTACAAACAGCAAGGCAGACAAGCTTTAATAGATTTCACATTTAATATAATGCCATTAAGATAGACATGATATAATATCATATACATCTTCCGCTTGTGTATTATTAATGATAGAAATCTGTATACAAATAAGTCATTAAGACTTTAAGCTTAACAGAGATTAAATCATATCTCATTTCACTACAATAAATATTTTTTACAAATTACTACTGGAACTAATTTCCGAATGTCTGTGGCTAAAGACATGCTTAAAGCTCTGTTTGTCTCGAAAAAAATCTTAAAGAGCTCATTGGAAGTGACTTTAAAGGGACGAAATGTAAATGTTTTAATTTTTATCCTTATTGCTGAATTTTTGATGTAAAAATCATGTAAAAGCTTCCGTTTACACGACAGATTATCCACCTCGTGTCACAAAAGCGAGTCTGAAATGGCTATGACAATTTATAGCTTGTTGACTGTAAAGGTGATGTGAAAAAAATTCATGTATGAAAAATTTGTTGAACATTCATCAAAGTTAATGTCTGTTTACTCAAATTTATAAAGAAAAACTGTGCATGCAAATGTCAATAAAATATAAAATAAGGCATGTTGATTCAAGCCATGAACTGCCAATAACCGCAGAGTAAATGATGAAAGAAAATTTTTCAATTTCTCCAGGCAATGAAATAAAATTACCAAGAATTAATGGCATCGAGGTTCGCAGAAGAGAAACATTTGTGATAAGAAAAAAAATTGTCGGTAGACATTCTTGTGGTGTTTTGACACAAGCAAGCCTGCGGTTTTGTTGGCAATTCGTTGAAATCTGACGAATAAATTGTAATTTTTTTGTGTCTCTGGGAAAGTTTTTTTTTGCTCTCGAGTTGGGCTTTAGTGATAAACTGTTGAAACAAGCTTGTTATTAATGTTAAATTGTATCGCAATAGTTGAGCTTTAAAGACTGCTTTCACAAACTTCTACTGTAATTTGAAACTTCACATTTTAAGTTCGCTTAGTTATTTGATCAGTGTTGAGAATATTTTAACCCTAGCAGAAATTTACTAGTAATTTCCTAGTAATTTACTGGATGACTTTCTATTTGCTACTTGCTATTTACTAGTCAAAATCCAAGTTCAAATTTTCGCCAAAGACCCGCATTTTCACTTGCTAATTGACTAGTTAATTCGCTTACAATTTAACTAGTAATTTACTAGCAAATTTGGAAAAAATTTAAATAAATATAACCGTTGATTTTCACGTGTTCTTTTGATTTTTCTCTTAAGTTAAACATATAGGCCGTTTTTTTCTAATTTTTTAGGCCATTATTTCATTTTGTAGAAATTAAACCTCATTTCACTATCATCTGTCAAGCAAAATTTAATTTAAAGCCAGACCAGGGCTAATATTAATAATCGTTTTTTCTTTCTCATACATTGTAATATTTCATTTAATAAATTTATTATTATTATTATTTTTTTGATTTTTCTTATTTGTGTAAATTATTGTAAAAGTATTAGTGTGTACTTAATTGAAGTACACTAACACTACGAACAGGAACAAAAGGACTTAATTTAATTAAGTCGAACACTGATGAACGCTCATGACTCGCACGCAAACCTGAAGAAGATAAATAATTAATTGAAAGTCACATACAAATTTGGATCGATGTTATAAAGGTGATTTCTGCGCAGTCTTGTGAAGTATATGGCAAATGCCAAATTTAGAACAAAATTTTTTATGACGCAAAAAATTCTTTTTTTGATAATTTTTCGTAAGAGGAGGGAAAGGAAAAAAGCATACATAAAAAATAAAATAAATAATAATTAATAATAATAAATAAATAATAATAATAAAGATTCGAACTTAAGCAGATTTGATCAAACATTTTACATGGTAATTTGCTAGTAATTTGCTATTAAATTGTAAATGTAATTTACCAACAGTAAGTTGTTTTAATAATAACTAGTAAATTGCAAGTAGTAGAATAGAAAGACTAGCACTTTGCTAGGTAGTCTCGCTAGGGTTACAGTTACTTTAAATTTCAATTACGTAAACAACTGCAATTAGTTGATTTCGCCTTGTATAGTTGTTGGCCCCTTCATGTGAATACTTACTCAGTTTGTTTTTGAACTCCGAACACTATTTAATTAACTTATTATTAAACAAGCATTGCGTTTATCAAACCAACAATTCTTGAAAGAAAACTTCTAAAAACGAAGAATTTCAAATTTTTTAAAAAGGTTAAGTTTATAACATTTTATTCCCACTCACTCTCCAGGTTTCACAACTTTTCAAAAATAATTTTGCCTATTTGATGCCACAATTCCCATACTTACTCAGTTCCTTCAGTATTTATTTCAGTTTAAACAAGAACTCGCTTTTCCTTATTTGTTTTTCCTATTTACTTTATAAAAAAAG